GCATCTTTCCCAGTTAAAAAGGACTGCATGAGGCAGTTTAATTGACAGGGGTTAATTGCTTCACAGGCTGTGAAGCTCTGAGCTGTGAGCTCTCACTCACAGATGTAGGGCAACATGAAGAAGATGTCTAGGGCTCAGGCTTCTGGTTACAGATGTACTGGCAAGTGGCAAGACTCTGAGGGAACAGTGTGGTCTAGACCATTAATCCAACTCAAATAGTAGCAATTCAGTCTTTTTTGACTGAGTGGGATGAGAACAGTTTAGAAATAAAAGTGTCTTATGTGTTTTTTTAAAATGTCACAGCTACTTTCTTCAGTAGTTTTTTTTCTTTTTTAACAAAACTCCCACCCCAATATTCAGGCTTCTTTGGTTGTCAACAAAAAATACCACTAGAAACCACAGCCTCCTGTTGTTTTCTGCATATTTATAATTTTGCAAACCATTCCTCCTTCCCTCACGCAGCCTGTCAGACTCTTCAGCTCTGCAATTCTTCTGAATCTATTTCTGGCATGTTATCTTCCCTCCCCATCCAGAGTGGCTGTTTAATTAACAGCATGTTGAGTTGTGAAGGGCTGGGGGAGGCCATCACGAGTGTGCTGCTTCCCCAGCCAGTGACTGCCACGAGCATTCCTTGCAAGAAGGGAGCAAATCAGCATGAAACTCTTGTGCTTACTGTTTGGTGAGCTTGCTCTTTTTCTTATCACTATACAAATATGTTGAGATTTGCCATCTTACCTCCTTTTTATTTTAATTTGGATGTATGTGGTGATTGGAGAAGTGTGAGATGAGGAGAAAGAGCTGAGACCTGTGCACTCCCAGGGATTCCTGATACACAAACAGATGGGAAGAAATCTGGGGACCAGTACAGGGTTGGTCCTTTTAGTCTTCTGGTGTGGGAGTTTAAAAGCTGATGTCGTGCCTGTCATTTTTGTGCTGTGAAACACTGCCATTGCCCTTTGTAAAAACCCAGCACAGTTCAGCCCTGTGGGCAACATAAATGGTACAACAACAGGGGAAGAACAGGTGGCTTAAGTTAGTCTAGATGTCTCCAAACCCTTCCTTGCTGAAAGGCTTAAGCCTAAAGAAAAGTTTAGCTAAAGCTCTGTCTAAGAGAAAATCCCAATATTCCTCTTCTAAGTCAATGAACAGAACCCACTCCTGGTAAACCAGTCTTTGTTTTTGAACAAGGGTGATTTAGTACTGGTTTGTAATTAAACCCTTCTGCCTCTTCATCCTTTTGCTCTCCCAGTTAACTCTCAAGAGTAAAAATCCTCCAGCTGTTGGTAAAAGGAAGCAATGGAGAAGAGAGAAACTTGCCCTTTGGGTGAAAGAAGGGATAGAAGGGTATAAGGGCTTCCTCAAGGATGCTGCTGCATTGAAAATGAGGGAAGTTTAGGTCTTGTGTCAGTGTTTCTGAAAACCTGACTTGCACAGCTTCTTCCCCTGTGGTTGTACCCATTGATGTTAACCAAGACAACACTTCACTACACTTGGAGGCCCCTGGGAGAGGATTGGTTTTCTTTCCTCTACTTTCTCCTTTTAGTGTCTTGCTTAACTCAATTCCAGAATTTTCTGAAGGTTTTCTGCTAAGGAACACCACACCCCAGAGTTCACTTAGGGGAGAGATTTCAGTTTCAAGTTAGATGAAAAACTAGCATGAATTCAAAAAGGTACAAATTGGCCACCATGAAATCTGACTGCAAACTGGAAGACTTCTTCAGCTTTGAGGAATTAAGCCCTGGAGCATCCGTCTAAACAGTGTAACAGAGGCAAGGGTCCTAGCTGGCTTAAGATAATGTTTAGCAAGGTTATGGAAAGGAGTGTAAGACAGGATAGATGAATGAATATGTAGGAAGGGCAATGTATGATAGCAGCCAATATTTAGATCTTGTTAAGGGCAGGATGTGTTTGCTGCTTGAGTCAGCAGCAACTTCTTGGTTCACCCCTGCCTTGCTTTGAAGGTGTGCAAGCCATTTTCCAGGATCATGGTTCCAGCTCTTTCCCAGTACCATGCTATAAGCACCGCTTCTCCTCTCTCGTGGTCCTGGTATTTGCTGCTGGGTCTGGGCAGGTTGTATGTTTGTTGGTTTTTTTCAGGGACTGACGAGCTCTCCTCTGAGCTCATCTGGACCATCAGGTTGCAGGCTGAGGTGGGGGTCTCTGCCTTTTACTGGTTCTCATCAGTTTAGGGTTTTGCAAAGGCCTTTTTGCTTTGCACACAACATTGTGTGAAAGGATGCACATGGTGCTTTTTTCCCTTTTTTTCCCTCCCTCTTCACTACAGATTTTACAGTGGCAGATGAACAAATTAAGTTCAAATCTGCTTCCCACACTCTCCTCCCTTCCCAAAGGTGCAACCTGACAGATTTCAGTCTCAGCTAGTGATGTTGGCATTGTAACTCCGATTGCTCAGTCTCTCACCTCGCTCAACTACTTTTACCTTATTTGTGTATTTTTACATGTTTATTGTGGGGCCTGGTGCCAAAATCCTTTAGCATCGTGGGAAGGTGCAATCATCTCTTAGCAAACCACTCCTCACTGCTTCCACACAAGTCTCATGCTCTGTATTTTAGGAGGCTGGAGCAATTAGCTGAAGTTGCATCAATTAGATATGTTAGAAACTATCCCAAATAAGCCATTGCAAGTTAATAAGTAGTTTAGGAAAATGACTGCCAAGTATTTTTCGCTATGTTTGCATGTTCTGGAGTCTATGTAAATCATGGTAATGTTCACATTGTCACAAATATGATTTAAAGCTGTGGCTCTCTGGTGATGGGTAAAGGTAGGGAGGCAAACCTTTCCCATAATTTTATTAATATGGAATGAAACTACAAGTAAATGGGTGTGTTTGATGAGACCACCTATACAGGCATTGGATTTAAGGGGTGTCATAGGTGTAAAAAACATTGCTTGAATGCAAACACATGGTGGGCAATTGGGTGTGCACACATGAATGTCCAAAACACAACTTTCACCCTCCAAAGAGAAAGCAGCTGCTTGTGAACTACAACTGGCACATGGGCTGGTTTTAAGTTTTACCACCACCTGGACTAACCCAAAGTAGTGTATTCCAAATTCTCTTGTGAACAAGGGGCCATGAGATACAAAAAATGCTGGAGAGCCTGCCTGTGCCTCATCCTCTGGCATTCCGACAGCTGGGACTCAGACACCCTGCTTCTGGCAGTTCCAGGTGCTGCCAAAAAAGAAGTGCTTAAAATCCCAACAAACCCAAACCAGTGGTCTGGGAAGAAGGTTATGATTCTGAATGGATGGAAAATGTTGAAGTGAGAGCTCTGCAGGGAGCTGAACACCAGGAGACGGCCAGGGTCCTTTGGCAAGCCCACCACTGGCTTATTAATAAGCAGCTGTGTGTCCCAGGGGGAGACAAAACCAAACCCCTTTTCACATACTGATGAGAGACAGAATAATTTTACATATTGTCACTGGTGAAAAACAGTTTTTCAATTTTTTTAAAACTTTTATTCATTTTTTTTAGAAAAGGAATAACTCTGCATGGTAGAGTGTACGGTATATAATTTCAAAACAGAAGAAGTTATATGGAATGGATTATTTTCCCAAACTATTTAAAGTTTAACCTAAAATCATTTGTAAATCAACACTCAATGCCATGTAAGACAAAGGAAAACAATCAACATGTTTTCTGTTTGGTACAGATTTTCTCTACCTCTTCAGCCTGAATTTTCCCAGGGTTGGGCAGAAAAGGGGGGCAAATCCTGCCCATTGTCCTAATCATAATTGTACTGACCAAGCTTTGTGCTCTGAGATCTAGCAACATATGGCTTTATATACGTTCCTAAGTGAACAGTGCAACATCATCACCACCTTAAGTGTTTATTCCACATTCAAACTGTAACTGAACATCACTCTGAAACCCTTTTCCGCCCCCAAAACAACAGCGATAACAATGAGAAGCAGAAAGTCTCCAGCAATCAGATTTCATCCAGAAATCTGTGTAAACTGTAGATCAGGGTTGGGTAGCAGCACAGAAGGCAAAAGATGTGACAGCTTGATTCAATAGCATCTCTAAAGACTACTCTAAGACTGTCATTCTTTAGTCTGCATCTTGCAAGCACAATTTGCTTTTTCCCTGCAATGCTATAAAGCAATATAAGAAAAAAATCAGACTCAAAAGCAAAAGGTAGAAGCCTTCGTGGAAAGGTAAAGCTTCTGCTTAGCCTTGAGTGGTTGCTATTAGAAACAGATGTCAACAATCAGAAACAAATCTTGAATGTATATACACAATTTGGGTGGAAAGGGACACGGCCAAGGGTGAAAGCCCTCCTAGCTGACCCACAAACTGTTCTGGATTGTAGGTTCACACCACACCCACTGCCTTTTTGGTCTGAATAAACCAGCAAGGCAGCCGCAGGCTCCAGGTGCACTCCAGGCTCTTGGCTCCACTGCTCCTTGGCTGTGTGGGGGCCAGGAGAAAGAGGAGAAGGAGGAGGAGGAAGAGGAGGAGGAGGGAGTAAGATTGCCCCCCCTCCCCTCACTTTGCAGCTGGCTGAGTGACGCATCGGTTGCAGCGACATGGGACGTTACACTGGGAAGGTTTAAGTGCATACTTTTCTTTTTACCCTCTCCTCCCTAATCCTGTTGGAATGTATCTATATCAGTAATCAAGTAAGTATTACTAATAACTGTAAGCTAGCATGGTCACCCTCCCCTTTAGAATGGGGGGAGAGCAATAGCATCAAACAAACTTCCATTTGTCCTGATGTGTAACCTTTCTAGATCCTGTAGAGCAATTGTATGCAGGCTTTCTTCATACTAAAATTTAAAAGAGTCAAAGCTGGTAAAGAAACTGGATGTTTCCTGGCTTAACTGAAAGAAATAATCAAACTGATTAAAGTAAGAGTGAAAGAAAGTAAGCATTAGTGTGTTCGCATCCTCTGATATGTCCCACTTCTCTATGTTCTGCTCACAAGCCCTTTTCATACTCTGAGCAAGCATTCCCAAACTTATAGAGGTAAGGCTTCAGCTGAAATCTCACAGTTGAGACTATTATTTATTTTATAATTACCACAAATGTAATAACTTGATTTTAGCAGATCCATGTGGGGCATGTTGAGGACAAGGCTTGTTAAGTGAACCAGCACAGGAGAAGATTGGACAGGGGTGGAATCCCACATGATAACAGCAACTGAACAATATCCATCAGCATGGCATTAGCTTAGTGTGGATATAGCATCAGGAGCTTGGATAAAGCCTTTAAGCTTTCTGGGTGTCCAGTCAGAACCAGGGAAGCTGCAAGAAGTTTTACCATAAAACTCCAGCACTGCAGTGTCTAAAGGACCTGAATCTCAATGGGCACAGATTTTAGGTTTTGCACAGCCAATCCTAATTAAAACCCCAGAAGTATATTGGCTGATGCCCCTGCTGTTGGAGCCTTAAGACACCCGTTACATTGCTGAGCCCTACACTTTTTTTTTTTTAATAAAACACTGTTTTAAGATAAAGCACAATGAATGTGCTTATTACGCACTCTAACATAGAGCACAGAAATACAACACTACAGAGTGCAAGTCTAACCATCTCCACAGTGGGAAAAGTGCGAAGGTTAAAAATATGCATGTGGCTTAACACAAGATATTTTTAAAAAACATGACACGGAAATCTTATACTAATGCTTTCGTCTTTACCACAAACATGACTGAAAACTTAAGGTCAATTGCTGATCCTTCTCTCGCAGTAGTAGTAGTGTAATCCTTTCAAAGGTACAATGTTGGAAAGATCAGAGAATAAAAAAACCCAAGTGTCCAAAAATGATCCCATTTGCCACTTTTCCAGTAGTTACGTTTCAAGGAGTAAACGTGTAAGGTCACCTTGATCTTCACCATCAGTAACTGATACACTTGGAAACAGCTAAGCCAACCACCTGGACTGAGATCAGTTCGGTGTCGCACACACACACACACACACGGATACACACACAAATACCCCACAGGAAAAAGTGCACTTTCAATTGCTGATACAAAAATAGATTGGCACATTCTTTTTGACACAGTGAAGATATCTTCTTTAGAAGCTTTTTCACTTTAAGAAGTTCTCTTGGAATTTGCAGCAGGTCTGTAGAAAAAGCGCTACAAGAATGCACTCAGTGGGCTTCCAGGGTTTGTGTGATGGACAGAGGGGTGGTCATGGAGGCTGCCCTTCTAATTTTTGCCTACTTTTATAGCTGTAGTCCCTACAGGTAGGGTCAGTCACCACCCAGTTTCAGCACGTGAACTATTCACCAACAGCTCAGTCTTCACCTGCTTTGAGAAAGTAACAATACATAAATTCGTCAAAGCCAAGAGTCGATGCAGTATTTCCTGTAGCCAGAAAAACTGTTTGGGGGGGGGTGGGGAGAGAGAGTGAGGTGTTAGGAGTCTGATTTTGCTTTTCCAGTAGTAACTGCGGCCTGGGAGAGCCAAGCGGGAACAGTCAGGAGCCCCTTCCCCGCCGGGCAGCCAGCGCTAGGAGTTCTGCACCAGGCGTCTGTAGTGCGGCATCACTTCGTGCTCGGGAAGGTGGAGAGCAAACTCCAAGGCCACCAGCACCGGGAACTCGAAGGCGATCAGCTCCCGCCTGTTCAGCCGGAACTTCTCTTCCAGTTTCTGCAACCACAGCCGAGGGGAAAAAGTATAAATGAACAAAAATGGAATGAGGGTTTGCCTTTTAGAGCTTTCCCACAAATGGCATTATTCAAAACACGCATGCTGCTGTCATTAAACTTCTGTCCTGATGGATTTGCATGGCTCTAGGTTTAGAAAGCCAGAGCTGTGTGAACTGCATGTTCCGAATCCTTACTGTGAAGGCGAACTCACAGAGCTCAGCCAGCCCTGCTATTTCTAACATGTTTGTCACTTCACTCATTCCACTGTGAGCAGATACATCTTCTAACAATCACAGTGATTACCACTGCAGCAACAGGAAATTCCTAGCTTCAGGCAAACATCAAAATCACTTGTGTAATGGAAGACATGCATCTTGTAATTGTCCAAAAACCTCCTGCACTGCTTGAAGTCACTAGTTTTCCTTTCAGCATTAGACTGTGATACAACGCCCTGTTGGGGAAATTATTTTGCCACAATTTGATCTTAATACTTCAGAGGCAGAAGGTGTTGTAAGAACAGTGAGTAATAGAAACTGCTATCCTCAGGGGGAATGATTTGGGTTTTATAGTTGTTTTTGTGCTGCCTCCCATATGCTCTGCTGTTTTCACTGGATTTGGATGCTACAAGTAGACAATCAGTTGCTCAGGGATATTTCCCCCTCATCCTCTTCTTAGGATCTCCCTGGCCTGCTATTTCTCTGCCCACTGGGTTTACTACAAAGTTCAATGTCTTATGGACCAACATTTCAGGATACCAAGAGAGGCCAGATCTTCCAATTCCTACTTGGCTGATTTTTTTTCCGATTATTCAGAGGGCTTTCTAACAAACTGACTGTCAACCCAGCTCTGTGACTGTGGGAGGAGGGCATGAGTCCAGTCCTGCCCCCATCCACGATCCCATGTTTCTTCCATTGAGTGAGCTGGTTGTAGCCACATACCGAGACACCAGCCTAACTTTCTGTAGCATTAAATCAGATTGGTACCTCAGTGCTTGCAGAGGATTATGGTATAACACCCTCATGTTACCTCTTTCCTGTGGACTGCATAGAAGACCAAACACCTTACTCTGCAAAAAAACATCTGGAGTGAGGTGTTCTAATGGGAAAACCTCCTTAGGTTTTTTTGTCCAAAAGCTGAACTTGATAAAAGAAATACAAATGTCTATTGGACTCCATCTGAAATTAGCATCTGCATTTAATTCCCAAAGGAGAATCCTTACTGACACTCTTGAAAACATAATTAAAAGCAAAATTAATTTCCTGAAGGTTCACCTGTTGCCTTGTATTGACAAAATGATGGTCATATACATCTCAAACCTCACAGTACCTGACACCAGGGCCTTCTATCCCATCAAACAAGCTTCCCACACCTCTGCAGGGACATTGATCACTACCACTTTCACAAACATGCGTAACAAAAAAAGATGTTTAGCTGGCTGTACATCTGGAAGCCTAAAAAAGAGCATGTCCATTGACTAACAGAGTTGCACAGACCACACACTGGCACTTCACATAGATGGAACACCAGAAACCTATGGATACGTACATCTATAAGATGCTTGACTTCATGTTTTCTGAGGTCACTGCCAATTTTGGCTGCTAAAAGAACACAAGCTCCAGCACAAAGCTTTCTATTCTGCTTGTTCAGCTTCCCCTTGAGAGCGAGCTTCTCAAAGTAGACAAAGGCCATGGCCACTGTGGGCTCTTCAAAACCACATTCTTCTTGAGCAAGCTTGCGCATTTCTCTCTTCAAGCTGAGTAAAGAGACCAGACAAGTATGCTGTGAGATTAGTTTTAAAGCATTTCTCATTTCACCCTAAGAGCCATGCTTTCAGAGATTCCTGCTTAGTCAAATGGAAGGGAAAATATAATTTACTGGGCAGATATCTTTATGCTGTTTTGGGGGCACATTTATACATCACCAGTGACCCTCACTGCCCCAACAGACAGTTGTGTCAAACTATAAAAGCAACCAAAAAAGCTCTGACAATTTTAGCAACAATATTTTATCAGAGGTCCTTCAATGCATACCATTTGTTTTGTAACAATGTTTTGATTACTGGTGCTCTGTATGCAGCTTTTGCTGCTGGTTATGGCTGGTCAAATCCAAACTGACAGTTCTGTCCGTGTACTGCAGCCCTGTCTGGCTACAGAGCAGTGTGGCTCAGTGTCCTTCTGGCCACTAGGGTCAAATGAAATTATCATTACTTCAGTGGAGCAATATGTCTAGCCTGCTACACCAGAAACGGAGATGGAATATTACAACTTTGCTGTGAAGCCAACTACTCTTTTTGCTTCTGGCCAAGGCACAAAAGCAGCACTTCTCTTTCCTCAGTCTCTTTTTAAGCCAATTGCCATGAGATTAGAGACTCTGTTGGGTTATTTTTCTGGCTATTTTAATACAGTGCATGCCCAGCTCTCATCCTCATCCCATTAGATGCTGTGTTTGACACCTGACCAGCACATGTTTGCACATTCCTCTATCCTGTTTACTCATCCCAGTAATCCAAGCAGTCATCTGACTTACTCTGCACCTCTGCTGGTCACTGCTCCTGGAAGATCAATCAGTGCTGTGCTTCCCCTCATGCACAGCAGGAATTGCAGTGACATGTGAAACAGCTGCACCACATTGCAGCCTTACGGAGCTTTGCAACATACCTTCTTATTTTACTGAGGGTTAGCTTGATGTGAGGGAACTTCTCCTTAAAGGTCTCATTCATGTCCTTCTTGAGATCTGATGGCTTCACGTAGTCTATGACCGTGGTCTGTAATGCACGTCAAGAGAGAATTACTCTTTTAGTTTGTAACAAAGAAGATCACTCGATTCCCAGAAGCAAGAAATTACAAACATGTGCCAGTCAGTCCAACACTTTCAGCAGACAGGAAAATTAAGTCTGAACTAAGACAACTATTTACTTGTGACTGACAAAAGAAGTGACCTGTTCAGCACAAGCCTTGAACAATGCATAGATCATTAGCATCATCTAAGTATTGCTAAGAGTGATTTTAAGATGAATGTGGCTGGATGAAACCTACCTGAGAAGTCTTGCAAGACAAAAAAAAAATTCATCACAATAACTGATATGATGACCAGATTTTGGTGCATACCTCCATGTGATTCTGAGACCCATTGTGAGTTTCGCTCAGGCTGATTCTTTAAAGAAACCACAGGTACAAACCCTTGCCTGCTGTAGCATACATTGATAATAAAGTAAGTAGCCAGCTTATATGGCAGGTCACTCAGTAGAGTGGAAGGCAGGAATGCTGTGGTAAGTTAGGCAGTAAATGGACAAAAGAGTCAGGACAACATTCAAAGCATACAGTCTATTTCCTTTGAGCTTCCTATTCCTTTTTGTTACAACCTAAGGAATCTCCCCAAGTTGCAGAAGGTTCTCCTGGCCAACACAGCCCCTGCATCTGTGGGCGCCCAGCACTTCTCTTGTTCCCTTAGTCTTTGTTCAGGTAGCACTTTGCCCAAATCCTCTGTCACCATTCACCTGGCCAAAATCTAGCAGTTCAACAACAAACCAACCTTTATTTTGGGAATGTGTCAATTCTGTTCCAAGCTTTAGCAGTTCTGCCCATTGGACAGAAGTGGAGAGGAGCACCAGCTTGGGCACCAGAGGGACAGCCTGGTCCCCAGGCATACAACCCCCTGCGAGCTTCAAGCATGTAAGAAATCACCAGTGGATAGTGCAGTGCATTCTCCTGCTCATAAAATAATATTTCACTTCTGATTTCTGATTTTGATTAATTTTTATTATGGCAAATGGCTGTTAACACCAAACAAGAGGTGGAAAGAGGTATGTGAAACCCTTGCTGCGTGTTATGCCTTTATAGAAGGTGGAGCTCTGCTGCAATATATCCTCATGGGAATTGAAATCAGCCAAAAAGACTAACTGAATATGCTTTCAGGCTTTTTTTCTGTCATTAAAATAATATATGGAAGTGCAATGGCTCTAGAGAGAAAACAGACAATAAACAGACAATTCCCTTTATCCAGTCATGTTGTTCTCTCTTTCCAAAATAAGCATGAAGGAGAGTAAAACACACCAAACTTTTCCTGACTTTACTTATGAGGTATGGTACTGAATTATTAGGAAATCAAAACAGAGCAGAGCATGTGTTTCCCCTGAATAGTGCCCAGCAGTATTTGATGCAAACAAAACAGAGAGAAAAACCCCAGGTTTTTGCCACGGGGTGTTGTTATGGTCATGCACACGCTTTAAAACATGGGCCATTCTGCCACATCAACACTCCTCAGCCACACCTGCCTCCCTGCACGTGTATGGATGAGTCCGACTGCAGGTACAGGCAGACAGTGCAGTGCCTCTGAGGTTAAAAATTCATAAACTGCCTTGATGCCGAAGCAGGCAATGTGCTGCCACACCTGAATAAAAGGAAGAGAAGACAGGAAGGAGAAGCCTTGCCCTACCCGGGTGGGAAAGCTTTCAATGGAATGTATGGGCCTGCCTGGTTTAACCCTGCAGAGGCTGGAAGGACGTGTGCATGCACCGTGCAGCTGGGGCTCTTCACTGCAGACAGCTTCTCTCACATGCTGCATCTCACCTGGCAGGGCTCACACCTCTAAAGCAGAAGAATCAAGATCTTAACAACTACCCCTTTTCCCTTCTTTCCCTGGAATGTTGCAGCTGGCCTGCCTACTCCTTGGTATTGTTGTCAAAGGATCATCAGCAAGCTGGGTGCTGCTGAAGCACAGATATGTTGGGAGTTTTATGTGTTAAGGGCTTCCTCTCAGTACTGCTACAAGAGGACACTGAAACAAGCCACATCTAATTTAGACCACTGCTGTCTGTTGCTCAGGGTATAGAAACATGGGTCCATGCTGCTCTTGCTTACAGAGACAAGAGACACTAGCCAGATACATCCTATTACATGTAAAGATGATTTTAGTTACTACCAGTATTTTTGGTTGTCTTGGGCAATTCTATAAATACTGAGCTCAGTGTTACCTTATAAAGCTACCTGACACGTTATTTCACGCTTCACTACAAACCTAACTGCCCATTGTTTGTTCTTCATTACCACAGAGCTCATAATTTTATCTTAATTAACTTGCCTTTAGCTCTCTCCAGGTTATCTTCTTCTTTTGCTTATGTGCACAACAGAAACCACTTCCCAACAGAAAGGGCACAGAAGCTGTGTCACACAGCAAGTCTCAGCTGCTTTCACCTCTAATAAGTCAGGGTGGCTCTGGGGGCCAATGTGCAGAGGGGCAGTGAGCCCTGGGCTCTGCCTCTCAGCAGCAGCAGCCCCCTGGGATGCACCTTTCCCCATGGCTGCTCTGCAGGCACCGACTTGTTTTACCTGGGACTCCTCCAGCCTGTGGGAGGTTTGCCAGAATTCAGCTAAATTCTCTTTAGAAGGAGAAAAGCTCTTTTTAAAAATTTCATTTAAAGCAAAGCGCTCAGAGGCTTGAGACTAAGCAGACAGCTTAAAAATGAGAACAGTATAGAGGTACAGTTATTTTTAAACACAGAGATTTGTCAATTTTGTCCTGTTGATAAGGATCTCCCCCTCTCCAACTCTGAATACTGCCGCTTCCTGCGAGACAACAGTCTCTACGATACAAATCACAATAATGAAATCCAGATGAAATCTGGTGTGTGCTGGTTTTGATTCATGTAACAGGATAACGGCAGCATGTTTGAACACACTGGCTCTAAGGCAGCTGTCTCATCTTGTCAGTGCCATGCTGGAGAGCTCAGCTAACTGCCCTTATTCTCAAGAAAAGCATTTGTGCAAGTTTGTTTGTGGGGTTTTTTTTGTCCCTTGATTTTTTTTTCCCCTTCATAGCTGCTGCAGAAGCTGGACTTTGAGTAACAGCATGCTGCTTGTCCAGCTGGTACCTACAGAAATGCATCCTGTGCGTGCAGGACCCTGCCCAGCAGAGAGGCAGGCCGAAAATACCCCTAAAAAATATATGTTGAGAGGTAGTTTAAAAGCAACGTTGGATTAGCATCTGTTGAGTGATCAAATCAGTTACCCTCTCAAATGGTTTCTGACCAGGCACAGGTCAGAACAGGTTTCCGAGTACCCCTGTTGCTGGGGCACAGCACTCGTGAGGCTACACAGAAATCTTGGGCCCCAACCCTGACTCTGCCCAGGGCCCCTTATGCACCCTGCAAACAGCTTGCCACAACCACCAGCTTGCAGCAGCTCCCACTGCTGCCCCTGCCCACCAGCAAGGGAGTGGAGCAAAGCTCTGGGGTGGTCCAGGAAGCCACAAGAACCAGCTGGGATCTGACAGGGGAGGGCTTGGACACAACGCCATCCTCCTCTGCCTGCTCCCTGCTCAGCTTCTCTTCTGTTTGTTCACACAAAGTTCCATGCGAAGAAAAACACATGACTGTCTGTCCAGGACAATTCTGATATTGCCTGTGTCAGGGCTCTGATCAATAATGACGCTCCAAAATTTTATGAAGGGTTTGCAAATATTTCCCTAAAAAGAGCACAGCTTTTTTCCATCCAAACATACTTTCTTAAACATAATATTATTCCCTCCCAGGCAGGCACTCTGCACTCCCAGAGCTGTCAGACACATGAACAAGGCACTGGGAACTACTAAACTGTCTCTGTCATAGTCTAATCTCCAATGTTTTTAACGTCTGTCATCCAGAACCGTCTGTCTTGTTTCTCACAGCTTATTTGCACGGAACACATTTCAGTTCAGCATTCAGCAATACTCCTTTGTGGGCTCTGCTATGTTCTCTGTGTACAAATCTGTGTATGTATATTTTACTTTGGCGATGGAAGCTGCACAAGACAAATGAAAACCTTGATAGATGGTAGCTGACAGATGCCTGGACAGCATGATAAATGCCTGAGCCCAAGTCTCTACTCTGCACACTTTTTGCTTGGCTGGCAGTTTTGAACTTGGAGCTCAGCTCGTGTGTTATTCACAAGCGTTTTCAGGCAGCTGCTTTCTCATAGGAAAGCTGTATATATAGTTTTATAAATATGGGAGGAGAGAGAATGCCTGAAATGGTTGGTAAGGCTGGCAGGATGAAATATTGTAGAAAATAAATCCTACTTTGGCAGGCAACCAGTAAAAGATGATCTAGCCTTGGGTGCCTCTATCTCTTAGCTTAAGAAGGATAAAATCAGAATAAAATAGGTGAATACAATGAAAGATGTATGATAGGCTCTCTTAGCTGCTGTTACTGTGTACCCCTGATAAATCTACTTCACAGAAAGCAGACTGAAGACTGATACCTGAAACAGACTTTTGGCAGGTCACTGATAAGGTCTCAGCCACACAAGAAGTGAAAAATCAATAACTCTGCACTCTCTGACTAATTTAATGCATCCCATAGATGACCAGCTACGTACCTATCAACTGCCAGTAACCTAATTCATACGCTTATGGCTTATGATGCATATATATGAGAAATCCTGATAGACAAGAGACTTCAAACTGTGATAGAAAATGGGAGTGATTCTGAATTATAATTAAAATTCTAAAAAAGGAAGCTAGACTAAAATAAGATATTTCTTTTGTTACAAAGTTATGAACATTCAAGGACCTTAAACTGAAAGATTTTGAATTTCACAAGGCAAATAGTCCCAAAACTGCCTCTTTGAAATTAACTACATGGAAGGACACCAGTTTATTTTAGATTGTTAACACTCAGGAATTATTCTCAAAATAGTTATTTATTGGAGTCTCAGCCAAATACAGCATCAAATGCATAGATCACAGGATTTATATATGATTATCTACCACTTCTATCCTCTGCTCCCTGAGACTTTTGGGTACAAGGTCAGTAGCTGATAAAGAAGCAGTCTGGAGATACTTAATATACAGCTGCAGAAGAGGCTCGAAGAATAGGGTGACAGCACTGAAGGACACTGGCTGTAAGTGGAGTCTGCCTGACCTTGGTGCTCCTTGTGAAAGACAGAAAGAGAGAACGACAGACAGATGCATTATATCATCATGCAGGGCTTTTGTTAGACCAAAGGGCCAGGGCAGCAAGCAGTTCTAATTTTAAAATCACACTGGAGGACTAATATTAAATAATGCGGCCCGGCTGTGCTCACCACTAGTGCGGTACCTGGCAAGCGCAGCCTGGCAGGCAGGCACTGCAACAGCTCTGCAGAGTTTTGTGACCTGCTTCTCTTATTAGTGGTGTGGAAATGTCAATTTATTTTTATATAATTAAAGCAACACACTGACATTGTAGCTTGGTACCCAAACCTAATTCCACGTGTATCCCTTGAGCAGAGATAGATGGATATTTCAGGGATGCGACTACAGAATGGGTCACTCAAAGTCAACGTGCTGCTGATCTGGGCTCTTCTTCTTCTGCTTCAAGTTTTGGCAGCACGCAGTGACCAGCTAACATGCTCCTGTGCTTCTGTGTTACTGACAAAAGCAGTACTGCAGGATCAGCCTCAAGTTTTGTTGAGAATGAGTTTTCTAGTTCAGCACAGAAGGAGTTTCTGCTGGAAAGAATGCAGAGAGACCAGGGGGGCACTGACGAGTCTGTACATATGCTAGTCAATATGAGATTCGAGGAAAGAAATTAATGCTTAGTCTGGTAGATAAAGTTCCTGTTCTAGAGAGATTTAAGAATCTGCACAAATTCCTGTTTTAGCAGTATCAGCCAGGAAGACATCTGTTAACTATGACATGATGTTTCCCTTCCCCCCCACCCCCCAGCATGAATTTTTTCTACCTCTTACTGTTTATACTGCAGCAGAGAGTGCAGACTCTCCTACAAAGACAACACAAAAGGAAATAATTTCTCCAGGGCAAACTAGACTTTAAATACAACTAATACAATTAACAGAAGCCATACAGTTGTTATTGGCAAAGTATTGAAGAATACTTTTCAGAATTGTCCCCTGAAAGGCAATTTGTGGGTATTACTTCTAGAAATGCAACAGGGAAGTGTATGCTCTCTTAAGCCTGGGACTTCACTACAGAAAAAAAACTAAAATAAACCGAAACAAAAAAAACCCCATGCAAAAAAACCCCAAAACCCCAACAACAACAAACCCACAGAAAACAAAAAAAAACCAAACCAAACAAAAAACCAAACAAAAAAAAAAAAAAAAAAAAAAAAACCCCAAAACCCCAAAAAAACCCAACCCAAACCAGACTAAAGCAAAAGCACTTCTGCTTCCCCAGAGCTATCTACAAGGAGGAAGCTCAGCTTCTCCTTGAAAACAGCTGAGGACTTGCAGCTAACACCTTTCTCCAAGAGTCAGGGCTAATTCAGCTCAGTAAAATTAAAAGACTATAAAGGCAATGTCAGTGATGATAAACTCAGGCTCCACAAAAATTGAGCACACCGAGTGCTAGCTGCACATATTTCTGAGTGAAGTCTAAACCGGACCACACATTTTGTCTGTCCCGTGCCTCGGGATAAAGCCTGCAGTGTTTACTGATGCAGCATTCACACAGACCTCAGCAGAGCTTTCCCAGTGAGCGTAGAAATCCTGGCCTAAGAAGCACAAGCCAGGCTCATGGGAGCAATAGCAGCGCATGCAGCTCTATCCCGCAGGCAGTGACGCAGCCCAGCATCCACTCCTCTTCCACACCTTCCCCCCATTAATTGCTCGCACATCCACCAGGAGGGGTGAGGGGAATATCGACAAGCTTGCAGCTGTCGAGCATTAATGCTAAATCCTGGCCAAGTACCGAAACTTTAATTACAAGCTGCAGCTCTCCGCGCACAACAGAATGCTGGGCGCTGCCATCAGAGCCGCTCTCACTGCTCCAGAGGCAGCAGTCACTGCCACATCCCGCCCTGCACCGGCGGCTGCTCCGGCCTCTGCGCTCCTCTGGCACAGATCTGCCACTGCTGCAGTGGCTCTGAGTGGTCAGGAAAGGACCACAGGTCTCTCGCTGGCCCCAGACCGCAATTTGCTTTAATTGCAGTGTGAGCTGATTTTTACATTTGGGGGGGGAAGAAAATGATTTGAAATTATAAGGCTATTATGCTCCTGCTCACACTGATGTGAACTGCAGGGAGAGGGGGAGGGGATGTCAGGAGAGTCAGGAAAGTCTAAAACAGATGTGAGTAAATGGCCTTATATTCAGCCCTGTGCACAAGCCCTTGCACAAACTGAAAAATCCTACTTAACTCCTAAGTAAGCTCCTAGGACACTCTAGTAATACTTTTTCTCCCTTCTCTTGGTTGAAGGAAGCACCAGCAGCTTTAAAATCTTTCAGCTGAGCACTGAAGAACAACCATCTGCCCCTTAGCTCCTTGCAAAGCCATGCAGCTCCTGCACGGGATCACAGCTATGCTGCTTTGGCTGCAGGCAGGCAAAACCCCAGCCGAGAGAGCCCTTGGCACCTGCCTGTGATCTACCTCAACAAAAGAAACAGAGCACTTAATGTCCTTCAACCATTTCTTAGGTTAGTGCCTGCCTTCAGAAAGGGAGGTGGGAATCCCACAGACCCTCAGATAGTGCTGAAGAGGGGATGTCTGGAAGGGTACATTCAGGAAAAAAACCCTCAACTGTCAAATAAGACATTATTTCAGACACAGCAGTAATTAACCCTAGAGAGATTTAAAAGCCAGGGAGACCCCTGTCAATGCAAATATATTCTAGACAAACAATGACATTGATTTTAACAACTGTCCTTGAAGTAATTTTTCACCTTCAGGGCATCCAGTCATATCCCTTGTCAAATCCCCAGGCAGCTTCTTTTAACAACAGAAGTACAAATATAAGACTTTTAAATGCTGTGGACAACCAACATACAGAGAAGTGGGCACTGAATACCCACTCCTGGATGGAGAACTCCCTTGCAGGATGCCATCCTGGCTGCTTCATTTTTACTCATTTAATCATGTCCATGAGAACATCAAGCTAAAAGGGGGTCAAAGGTCTCAGGTGATTCTAGGGGACTTGCACTGCCTGGCAGACACTCGCAGCCTGAGGAAGGTCAGAAACACAGCCACAACTGCTAGAGCTATGCTCCCTTTGGATGTCGGCTAACAATGGCTTTCTCCTTGAGGGAAGACAGTTCCATGACTGTCCATGACACTAACCATATCAAAACCTGACAAATATTTTCCCACATAGATGTAGCTGCTATAAAAGGTTGTCACTTTGTGGGTTGGCGGCCAAAAAGTAATTCGCCAGCCCTTAAAGGAAAACTGGTAGCAAGTAAGCAGAGGACACTCTGGACTTCCCATTTGAAAACCTAGAATAAACACATCCTTAGAACTTAATTAAGCCTCTGTGTGCAACAGACAGAACATTCCTGTTAGCATGGAGATAATCTTCCATCCACATGAAGCACTTAGAGCTTATTTTGAAGAAGGAGCACCCACTAGCCAAATTACCTCTGGGGTGGGGGGCAGATGAGCACATAGAAAGGCTGTATATTTACATAGATTAGCAGTTTCTTAAATAATGTCTTCTGTTCCAAATTAAACAAGAACATGGACAACACTTTAGACCTCAGTGTTTCAAATCCTATCATATGTGTATACAGATAAGAGAAGTAGGTCACCACTTTGGGGAAAAAAAAATAGTATTTTCCCTACTGCCTACTGTTACCCTGGATGTACAATCCAGACAGATACATGCTCACATGTGTATGACTGCACTGCCTCTTGCAACAGTCCTGCTAAAATAATCTACAGACCTGGAGCAACCAAAAAAAAAGGCTACAGAAGTATCTCACCACAGAAAACATTCAGTCAGAGCACAGACCATGGAACAATTATGTCTCTGTATTGTTAAGGGTTTGGATATAGTGGGAAATATACAGACTCTGCTCGTAATTGCTGCAATTAAAGGAAGGACTATCCCATGGTGAAAAAAATACCTGGGAAACCAAGCTGTTCAGAGGAGTGAATGATTAGCATCAAAACACAGCGTAGCTTCATGACTTCAGAAAAACCCCAATGGGCATCCTCCTATTTTGTAATAGGTGCCAGTTTGAGGAAGTATAAATTTTCCTCTGAATGCCAGAGAATGAGTGCATTGTTTGAACAAGCCTTTCATCTAAAGCATTTATGAAATACAGCAGTAATAAAAGTGTTTGCTTTTGTAATACCTCCAAGAGTTTGTTTTAACATGTCTTGAGAAGTAACTGTCATTTAGAACAAAGCACTCTGAACAGCTCTTATTAGCAGATTAAAAATAATAACAGTCTTCTTAAAATATGGCCAAATGAAGTCTCAACCTTCAGAACTTTGTTACGGGAATTCCTCTGTCGTACACAGAATCACTTACCATATATGAAGGAAATATTAAAACCCGCTTATGTTTGCCACATGGCCACTGGGGATCATCTAAAAGATTTGGGTCGTATTCAACAAAGTCTCCCAGGTCGCTACCTATAAAACAACAGTTTAGATGTAGAATTTTGAAAGGAATTCATTGCATCAAGACATCTCTGAACTTAACAGAAGTGGCAAATGAGTTCACAGATAACGCACAATATTACTTCCATGCAAGATTTTTTAAAGAGATGAAAAATTGTTTTAAGTCTTGACAACTCTAAATATTTCTATATTAATTTGCCAAGACACAGAGGACCTAGAGCTTACGAATTACCTGCTAAATGTGAATTTAGGGCTTAGAGAACCGCAGAATTATATAAGGCTCCACAATGACTTTTATTCCCGGCAACAAGTTTTCATCTGTTCAAGCAGATGTTTTGATTTGTTTAATTTATCATGCCAAAATATTTTAAGCATATAGTGCTTTGGCTTATGTTTTGTGTCCAGTTTTGTAAACACAGCCCTTTCCAGCCTAACAAAGGTCACAAGTGGAATTTACACCTTCAGCTTATGACTACTGTGTTGCCACTGTAAATTTTCCATAGCAAAGGAAGGTAAGGACAAGCCTGATGCAGGAGGAACAAACAATGCTGATGACAGGAGGAGGCATGCTGGGTGCCATTGGAGCTGTCAATACCACCAGCGTGCTTGTTTATTTAACTTCTATCCTCCACAAGCAAGCTTTCTAAGCAGATATGGAATAAGCTGCGCTTCACCCACAACAGAAGACTGTATTTATTTCATTTAAGTTAATGGGGGGACTAAAACACGTCAGTCCTTTGCAATAACTGCCTACCATCAGGGTACTAAAAACAGCTACTTGAGAAGTTACCTGCATCAATGCTCCCCTGGGTGCTGTTAGCTCTTCCCAAAGAAAGGCTACGATGGCTTGCATTGCGAAATTGGGAGAAAGATGAGGTGGAGTCTATTGTGTTCCTCCGAGTTCCCAGAGCATTGGTGGGATATAGGAACTGTGTATAAGAAACCGTCTAAAAAACAAAATGTCAGAATGGACAGACAGTTACTTCCAGCCCAGACTGGATGCAGTGGGATGCTTTTGGTGCACTCCAACTTAAAGCAAGAGAAGCCAAATTAATGGAAGACTTCTGGATTTAGTAGTTAGGCACAGATGAATATAGACCAGCCACCTACATTTGCTCCAGTGCAGCCAGTTTATTCATGATTCAAAAATACTCTTGTGATGGCATTAATTCTTCAGCAAAACAAACACACACACACACACACACACACACACACATGCTCCAATACACTGGATTTAGAAAATCCTACTCAAGGGTCAGATTTAAAAATATATCAGTTTGGTCAGGTTTTTTCTAGTGGGCCTTCTCTGTAGCACATTTCAGCAGCTTCTTTACTGAACTAGCATCATCTATATGGGTCCCTCAGCACACAGCTGCCAGAGGCAAATCACTTAAACACTGCTAAACAGAAGCACTTTCTCTGCTATTTTTCTTTCTCAGGACTTTGTCTGGCAGAGTCTTATTGATGTAATAAGTGAGCTCCAGTCCACAGCAATCATTGTGGGAGATCATTTACTACCCCCCCAACGTGTACTAAGTGTGAATGAGTAACTTGTGACAAAATTATTTTTAGAGTGCACTGATTCTCTGCTTGTATCCCTGGCCAAGAAAAAGCTATGCCTTGCTTCTTGTTGGCTCATTTTCCAACGATAACATTGCATTGAAGAAAAAAAAATGAGTTTGAGACTCTAGACTGGTTTACGAGGAGGTCAGAACACATATCAAATAAAACATGTGGCATGTGAGCTTTCGTTATTTATAAGCAGACAGATTGTCCTCAGGAATTTACAGCCTGTGGTCTGGCCTGACACCTGGTTAGGTGAGCACAACACGTGTAGCAGCATTGACCCAGGGCCTTTAAATACATAGATGACAGCAGACTGAGTAAAACTGGACTGCAGAAAGTAAATCACACTTTCAGGAAGAAATGTTTTCTTCTATGATTAAAACTGTCTCTCCTCTATATATTTATTTAAAATCAATCAGTTCCCTAAAGATTCTTATTTGCTTATTCTATTCAAGTGAATGAGCTTCTGGATTGTGAGAGACTCATCAGCCTTGTGCCACTGTCTTCCTGCTCTCTGGAAAAACACTGAGCAAAATGTTATTAAATACAATTGAAAGCAAATAGAATTACAGGTACAACTCTCACCAGAAATTATTCTCAAGGTCCTGACAATCACTGCAGAGATACCTCCTGCTAGAGCAAGGGGAAGGCTGTATAATTCAGTAATGCTTTACACACTCAGACATTGCCAGAGGCAAATTTCTTCAAGGATACAGAGTTGTCTGTGTTGACAGCTTGGTCAGTCCTCATGAGTTTCTGCTAAGCCTATTTACAGTTGCACATTCTGTGCTTTAACCACTCTGTTACGCTGCATGTTGTATTTGTGCTTGTTATTAGTTAAGCCATTTTTACCCCTTATAACATCAAATCTAAGGGAGTAGGAACTGAAGCATCCCCACCTTCCCATCTGCTCCGAGCTCCACACCTTCAAGACCAATTATCTCTTTCAGACACACTCCAGCAGAATGGCACTGGCGTCCACCATCCAGCTTCATATCCCTGGGAAGCAGAAAGAAGAGCAGAAACAGCTCTTAATACACACGCTGTGCTCACCTCCCACCACCAAATGCTGAAACAAGATGCAGCATTAATCCAGACATGCCAAAGCAAAGCACAGACCAGACAACTTTTCCTATGGGAAGCACTTTTGCTGTCGAAAACACCTTCTAGAGAAAAGCCCTGCTTTGTTCACGGTTGCAGCTCAAAGCCCCGCCTGTGGTGCAGAGCAACGTTCCCCGTTGCTGGACCTCTGACAGGACCTGGCACTGGGAAGGAACTGGAAGTCATACACACTTCAGGTGAGACAACAATCCAGCCTGAACACTTGACTGCCATATATCCAGCAGGCAGATATTCCCAGAGCACATACCCACATTCCCCTATGTGAAACAGAGATCATTTCCTGTGGAAGATTCCAGGAAGGATTCCTGCTCTTTCGAGAACACAGGAGAGTGGCCAAAGCCCAGTGACCCTTCTGCTAGAGGCTGACAGGAGAAAGCCAGTTTTCCATGACCCTGGCATGGAAACTCAGGGATCTACTTTAGAAGGACTGACCCACCTGGCATCTCCCATTTGGAGATAAATGAGATGCCTGAGACAAGCAGGCTGTATCTCATGCTTTAGCATCATGATGAAAATGTGAGCAGAGGTGAAAAAGACTAGGAGCAAATCTGTGCTTCACAAATGACAGCTGAAGGAAACTCCATAATATTTATCTTGCAATATTTTCCTGGCTGGTTGCTGCTGGGGTCCAAGTGTGTGCTCAAAACTCCGTGTGGGAGAGATGCTGACGTGGAGGCCAGGAGAAGCCCTGCAGGCTCTTCACCCAGTCACAGGCTGGGCTATCTCCTGCTGTAACATACAATACACCCTGTTTCCAACCTATCACACATTTTATTTCTCTGAAATGTGGCCATCCTGAGCCCCCAGTAAGTTATGTACCTCACTGCTGGAAAAATCCAACACATCTATCTTCTGGAAAATATAGTTCAGTGATAAAGGAAAAGACTGTATCAAGTTTCTAATCCCGACAAAGTCCTCTTAGTTTCTTGATTGGAGTTCACTTAGCACAGTGTCATATTATCATTCTTGTTTCCTGATATCATGTTACTGAGGGGTTGGACTAATAATTATGTAAAAATAGCTCTCTGTCACAAGCATGGTATTAGCCTCTCTGCTCCTGTGCAGAAAGTGCTTCAGGAAACTATTTCTCACAGAGATAAATGCCAAATTGTAACTATTTCAGCAGTTATCTATGAAACAAACATACAACCTGAGGAAACCCCTGAACCCCAAAATGAAAACAAATATCTGAACTACCTGAAATCAGAACAGTGTAGTTTCTTTCCATTCAAGACCTTACAGATACAGAGCAAGAAATTATGCTGTTACAACTCTGAAAACATGTCATGGAGTAATTTTTCCATGTAATTAAGAGACATGGATAGATAACTCTGCCACTCATCAAATGGAAATCCATCACCCTTTGAAGAGTCAGCACAGCAGCTTTAAAAAATAAAAAGCAGCTCTGAGGACTGGAAAGAAATCAGTGCTTTTGAAGCATGGAGCAGGGTCAGCTGGCAAGTGCGAGCACACACACGAATGATTCCTGGACATTAGCTGAAGATCGGTGGACACTATTGCCTCCAGTGCCCGTCTTTCTGATGTTTCTAAAGAGGATTCTCCTTTCAGGACCCTGTGAACAACACTGCAGTAATTCTCCCTGTTTTGCAAAAGCTACTTGGGGTGTTCCCCTTCTCCACATATGCTCCATATTTCTAGAAAGTATATGACTGCTTGTGCTGTAAAATGGAGTAATAAAGTGTTACTGTTTGGAGAGAAGTCTGTCCATAAAACAGAGAATTAAACTCCCTCTCTTGAGGAAAATCAGTACTAAACAATGTGCAGTTTCTTTTGAGCATATAAATGGAAAGGCTCATCCTGGCTTATACACATCTTCCTCTCTCTTGTAAAAGATCTTGGTTAACACCTCATAAGGAATTCCTAAGCAACTTTACTGTATCCTTCTTGAATTCCCTATCAGTACGATCAACAGCAAGCTAGTAAAATTTTTTGCATGACAAGCCTTTATTTTTTTCCCTCACTTCTATTAAAGACAAAGAGCTCAAGAAGGTCTTGGCAAAGCTCTTACTGGGAGAGCAAGCCCAAAGGCTGCCAGCCCAGTGCTGGGGGGAGCCCCAGCACAGCTGCTTCCCCCACACAGCCCCAGCATCCCAAGAACAACTAGGAAAGATCTGGAGGATGCTTTCCCTTAGTCCTCTCCACATGGGTGAGTCGTGCCTGGGGAAGGACGGGGAACCTAAGGACAGTTGTTTGGGTACAGCCACTGCACTGGTGTGGCCATCCACTGCCACCAGGTTTGTTAGGACATGTCCTTACACAGAGTCAAAGGGTCCCATGAAGCAGGAGCATATGGAGGACAGGTACTTCATAGAGAAAACAAATCAAGCTTTCACTGTGTTTTAAGTTATTTAAATTACCGATGGGACTGAGGAACTGCACAAACCACTATCCAGTAGTAAATGGTGCTTAGAAAATGCAGAGAAGGAACAACAGTCCTTGCCAAAGAGACATTTAAGTAAAGAAAACTTCCCTCCTCCTCTTCCTCAGTTTTGATTTTCCTGCTTTATTTCCAAAAGTGCTTTTTAGGAAAATTCAAGGAATTCAAGCAGACACCCAAATCCAAAAATAAACCATGGGAACTTAATTTTACTACCTTCACTTTATTTGAGCAGGGAAAGCTTGAGAAAATGATCAGGGATAACATTTCCTTAGGAGGCAAAAAACTAGATCTCAGTTTTTGACAAAGTTTGGGGAGTTACCCTGATTTACATCAATGTCAAGCTCTAGATACTCTGTTCATGAATACCATTTCTGGAAGACTGAGCAGTGTTAGAAACTACATTCAAAACTAAACATATTGTCTGTTATCCATGAGTGCAGAATGTTGAGGAATACATGAAGTACAAGTAGCTGGGCTCACAAGCTGAGACTGAGATGCAGATTGAAATGCAGAGCTCCAGGCAGGAGCCTGAGAAGAGAGGCCATGAACTGCCAGCCTTTGGGACAACACAGGGCATCATGGTGGGTGACACCAGCCAGGTGAATGGACACCGGGAAACGCAGGAGAGCTGGGAATTGCAGCCTTTTGGGTAACAAAGGCGATGAAAACCAGTGAGCCAGCAAGGTGGATGGACACAAGAGGGGGGCAGGAGCCAAAGACTCAGGAGGAAAAGGAGACTTCTGGAGACTGTGAGGGTATAAACAGCCAGGGGTTCCTTGGCTGGGGATCCTCCTCAGTGGCACCAGCTCTGGCTGTTCCTGTGTTACCGCACCATGAATAAACGGCTTTATGGAACAAGATGGAACGAGACATCTGGGACTTTGCCATGGGAAACCTGGGGTCGAACTGGTGAGGAAACCTGGTCTGAATTGTGTGTGTCAGGAGTAAAGTGGGGACCCACTGGGTCACTGGAGCCACCCACCATGAGCAGTTTCAATCCCAGCAGTGAAAGTCTCTGACACTGAAGTGTGACCAGCAGTCTCCTGAGTAGTCAGACTGGGTAGTTTCCTTAGCAAGAAAATAAATTAAAGTTTCTCCATCTAACAGAGTTCACAGATTTTCTAGGAACCATACCAGGTGACATGGGATCCCAGATTTGTTGTCAGATGGTTTATTGAGCAGATAGATAAGGATCAAAAGAAGCAATGTCATCATGTCTTTTATTAGCCAGGCCAGGATTAAGATGCTGTTACCTTTGGAAGTATAACACTTCTTTAATGAACCAAATGTTATGCTTCGATGAGATCTACAAAGTCCCATGCAACACTCCTGCTGGGCACTTGCTCTTTAAATGACAGTAACAGTTGAGCACTCTAACCTGTGAATAATTTAGGAGTCTATGAAATATTAAACAGACTTCTAGATACATGAAAAAGCCTTCTGCTTATTGCAAAAAGGAAACTGATAATTGTTGTTTAGAGATGTCAGCCTTCTGTGCCCCTATTTTATGCTTAGCTATTCCCCCCACACTGCTAAGATTTATTCTAAAAGCAAAAGAGGTTCATGAGACATCAAGAAAAGATGCCATCCTCATCCGTCAGTGTAAATAATTTCTACTTATCATCTGTTTATAGAGACAAGGACAATGAGAGCTCTGGAAGAGATGCACTGCCAGTCAGACCAGCAGCAGATCTCCCACTGCCTGAAACTGCCAGCTATAATTGATCAAGAGCTTTCAGATCCTAATGCCATTAGTGTTGCCAGAACAACTCCAGCTGCAATTTACAGGGAGAAGGAGCAAAAAAACTCCTGGAAAGATGGCTCTAATGGTCCTTTTTCTCTCTCCAAAGATATTTAGCTGTCAGCACGCTAGCTCTTTTCCTGATGTTTTGCCCAACACAGAGTAAAAGTTCAAAATTTAAACTTACTAGCTTTTGGAGATTCATTGGTCAATTTCAATCTAAGGGAACAGGACAACTCACAAGAATGAGCAATAGGGGCTCTATAAAATTCATACATGAGATTATGAGTTTTGAAATGTCCTACTGTGAGGAAAAAAACTTTAGATTTATGTGTCTTTCTGTAAAGCTAATATTCGCTTGGTTTCATTTTTTGTTCACTTTGTGAGAAGCAGGGAAAATGGGCAATGGTAAAGAAATGCAGGGATATTTCAGTTTCCCTGTCACAGGCTAAAAACAGATAGCTGTTCTTCCCCAGGCCTACGGAATGATACATGCTCAGGAAAAGCACTCAAGATTGATGACTTAATCTAAACTGCCTTGCATACAAAATCTGTTGGGAAGAACAGCAAGGAACTCGGTAACAAATCTGAAGGATGCAACAGAGTATCCTGCTTTGCTGTCTGCTTATTGCTGCTATCCATATGGCAGTTTAGATGCTCTCATTTCTCCTGTAAATATTGCCCTGTTTTCCACACTCACTAACCTGCCAAATAACTGATGGCAGCAAGACAACCACACAAGTCCTTCTTTTCGCCTCATTTTGCATATGGCTTTCTTACCCAGTTTAAACACTAAATATGAACAAAGATTGCAGAGTTTAGGAAAAGAAGGCTGTTGGGAATGCCAGGTCTGTGGCATTGATAATTGATAATTTTGGTTAAATACTATTTGGGGCAATGGTATTGAAAACCTCTTGCTCCTGGCATCATTGAACATATTGTCCTGGCCAGCATCTAGTTAAATCTGAAGTTAAATTCAGCAGCGACTTATCTTTAGAAACTGGATGAAGCCAGTTAGTAGCACTTCTGAGAAGGACACAAATTCTTCACTTCAGAAGAATGGTCTGTTTCCTGGGCTTCAATCCATTTGATTACTCATACTGCATTATTTCCTTTAGCTGGAGGCAAGTTTTGTCAGATGAGTACCTGTATTTTTGTCAAGGCAGCAATATTCAGCAGCTATGCCTGCTGCAGATAGATTTCTAACCTGAATTCAGTGTCACAAAGAAGAAAAGATGAGGTGAACTGGCCATATTTATAAGGATGTGCACTATCTGATGCTCTGAGTTCTCTGTCCTGTAGCTCATCACCTCCAGCCCCTGCTGTCAGTCAGCCACTGCGAGCCCAGGTCTGAGTGCTCTTTTAAGACTAATCAGGCTGCAGTGCTGCATTTGTGTCATAGTGCCAGCTTTCCTCCTCCCCCAGGTCCTCCAGATTCATCTTCTGGACAGGACTTCACAGGAACTTGGAAGCTCTTAAAAGAGTGCTTACAACATCACAAAAAATATAATCAGAATAGGTACACTATTTCAATCTGTGGATGCTTTTGCCATTGATAAGAACAAGCCTAAAAAGTGCCTCTTCCAAAGCACATTTTTAAATCATGAAGCATAATGATGTGTGCCAAGGATGAAAAACAAACCACACATCAGAACTGTAAACCCAACTAACTGCAATACCTTTTCTTTTTGGGGTGAAAAACAACACGGTACCTTCTTCCTCCTTTTTAACACCTCTAACTGTGACAAACAAACATTGCCATTGTCCTTTTTTGAAATTGCTTAGGCTATACTAATGAGGACTGGATTGTTCTCACTTGGCTGCAAGCATATGCAGACCATTTCTGTAGGGCAACACGTCCTGCTGGCCACATGGAGCAACTTCAACAACTGTGAGCACTGCCACAGTTGTACCATCTCCTTGGAAGCTGATGGAGAAGTGGTGCCTAGAGAAGCTTCAAGAACAGGCAAGCAATGGAGAATTGTCTCCCTTCTCCCCTGCCCAGGCTATCTGCTTTTTTCCAGAGAAGGGAGAGTTGAACCTGCTTCTTTCTCCATCCTGGCTGGGGCCATATGGTGGGTCCAGAGAGTGCCCTTGCACACACCACACTGGGAGAAACCTTCAGGAATGTTCCCAGAGAGCCTGGCTGTAACAGCTCCTCTTTAGGGACTCGAGTGTCCGGAGCATGAGCTGCCTAATGGCTAAAAGGATAATATCTGCTGTGTCTGATCCCCGTCTCCTGTCTCAAAGGGCTGAAATCCAATTCACCTCAAACCATCTGGAACCCATCTCCAAACAAATAATTCCTTCAAGTCTTATTTAATCCATCTGCAAATGGCTTCACTCTTTGGTTTGCCATGACACAAATCCCCTTTGAGGGCCCAGAGCAGGTCAGCATGTGTCAGGGTGGAACGCCTGTGCCTGAGGGTGGCTGTGGGAGGACAGCTACCTGCTGCTGACCTGAGGCATCTTCCCCTGTCCTGGAAGTGGAACAGTATCAAGGCTCAAGTCTGTTTGCTGTGAGCTTCCACAGTGACAACCAGCCTCTGACAGAGGAGGTGTGTGCCACAGCAGCTCAGGGGATGCACAAGGTGCACCTCTGCTAAAAATGGGAGGTCAACACATCCAATTTTCTGCCCATCTACAGAACCAGATGGGGATTAATGCTTATCTGTGGCAAGGAAGTTATGAAATGGATACCGAGGCAGTTTCAACACCGTCCACAAAGTGGATCTTACATATTTTGGAATATTATATTTAAAGAAGAAAGAGGAACCCTTTATCCATTAAGGCTTCCAATGCATTGAAAAACGAGAGGCAACTGCACAACCCAAACGTGCAGTACTAGCACTTGCCTCTAACCTGTGCACCACACAATGACTCTGTATGTCATAAAGCCAAACATTCAGGCCATCTTTCTCTTTGTCTGTTAAACTAAGAACAGAGGCAATAACACTTTTACAAGTGCTTTCAAATCACTACATCACTCCCCTTAGCTACCACTCAACCCTGCCTAGGGTCTGATGACTTCAGGCTGTAACATCAAGAGGTACTGTAGGGCAAGGAATGCCAGCGGCCAAGATGCTCAGCACCTCCTTCAGCTCCTGACTTGCAGTGAAGCTTTCCTTACTTTGCCTTCACCTGGCTATATCTTGCTCTGCTGGTCTAGATAGAGGAAGAAAAGTAAGCATTTAGGAAACTTATTCCAGGGGCACCTCAAACTTCATTCCCTCATGTACATCTACGGCTCTCTCCCCATACTTCCAATTTGTACTGGTACAGCCACTTAAAAATCACACTTTAGGTTTTTGGGGAGGGTTGTTGCTGTTGTAGTTTGACCTCTGCATGGAGGGCAGGCATTTGAAGACCACAGTCTAGAGTACACGTCTCGCACCTCACTGCTGAGGGGTGATGCTGCCCCATCCACACAGGACAGGTACATAGAGTTGTGACTTCAGAAAGTGCCTTTTACCATGTTTTTATAATGGATCTGCTCCTGCAGACTGTATCTAGCAGCACTGGTAGAGCACAGCTCTTCTGCACTGCCTTGAGTACAACATGGGCTGGCAGCCTCCACAAAACAGCTGTGCCTGGAGATTTCCTCACTGGCCACTCACAGTGCCCGTGAGTTGGAGCAGAGCTGGAGAGGCAGCAGCAGCTCCACTATGGGCTCCTCTCACAGGCAACACTTCCTCCTGCCTGCTCATCCATCCTACTCTCCCACTGCTGCCGCGGCTCTCTTCAGTTCAGATATGTCCATGGCTCCCTGCAAGGACCTGTTTCTTTTCATTACGTGTTCAGTGATATTTGCAGAACACAAACCAGCTGGGACATCTTACCTGGGGACAGACATCAGCAATCCAGGGATTCAGAGAAAGCAAAGCTAAAAGATGCTGTAATTACAGTACTTCATAAGAGTATCCAGTGTCTCTCCCCCCTCCTACTTCACATCCAAAATGTGCAAGTAAGCAAGCACTGTGCAGCCTGAACAGAGTGGTACAGTTTATGCTATACTGCCTCATCTGTTCCTTGCACCAGCTGTTCCTGGAAGGAGGTGCCACTGAATTGTTTCTCTCTTCCTCTGATGCTCTGGAAGAAAGACAGAGGGCATTTTTTTAAATCTTGGCTTTTTAGCCAAAGGAACAGGGTTGGATTGTTGTGTACTGGCACTTGCTACCTTCTCATCCCATGCTCTTCTTGCTGTGCAAGCACAGTACAAGACATGACATGCTGAAATAATATTTAGTTTTGCAGCTGGGCTCGTTACTGCTGTAATTTAGAAGGTATAACCAGTCATCAGAATTTCAAAATGTGTTCAATTTTCAATAAAGAGGCAATTTCCACAGGATGATGACCATAAAAGAATGACAGTGTACTCAAGAACAAAGAACAAATCTGCCAGTCTGTCAAGAATTTGCCTGATGTGTCATCACAGTTTAATTAAGGGAAAAAATTTACTGTAAGAGTGAGCAGACAGAGTCAACCTTCTGACAAAGGTGCCTCCTTTCCTTTGTGCATTAAAAATAATCTCCCTTTGTTTTGAATTACTGGTGCACAAGGAGATTGTGACAAATCACTCTCCAGAACTAAATAGATGGCTGGAAAGTATGAGCCAAATTTGTCTTTTATACAGTGGAAAGATTTGACTGTAGATGATTTGTGGATCTTTCAAACTCCCCTCAGTGTATCAACAGACTATTTCCCATGCATTTTGTGCTCTGCAGTCACTGAGTCAACCACAAGGACTTCTCAGGTCTCTGGCAAATGAGCCTGGTGGCCATGCTATTCCCCCTGTCCCAGGGTCACAGGGCTGCTGCCACCAGCACTGCTGATCCCAGCCTTGCACTGCACCCAGCTGCCATCAGAGCCTGCCAGGCCACGTCCTCCAGCCAAATCCAGTTTCTTCCACTTCTGTTGTTTCAGTGGAAGAGCTAAAAGCTTTCTCAGTCTCTGGAGAGCTACTTCATTCCAAAGGAACTATTCTATCAGAGTTGCAGCGTCTCAGCACGTCAGGGGATGCGAGGCAGCTGCACGGACAGCTATGAACCTGTATAAAATCATGGCCAAAATAATGCTTTCACTGACTGAATGATCTGACCAGTTACTAAAAGTAATAAATAAAAAAGTATTCTGTTTAAATCCAAGTATTTCTTTATAGTTCTGGAAATCTAGATACAGTAGCACTATGTTTGTATAGGAGAAAGAGACAGCTAAGATGGCTTATACAACTAAGTCATGCTGTCTAAAGTATTTGTTTTGTCAAAGATGAGTGAAACCAGAAGAAACAATAAAAAAGTGCATTTTTTCAAGAACATTGATTTCATGGGGGCAGTTTTCTCCAGCTTAATAATCAAAGATATCACAACACACATAAATAAAGTGGGGACTGAGAGCTGTAGTTTAATCTGGTAATGGTCCACAAAGCAAATACACCTAAGAGCATTTATCTCTTCTCAGAGCAGACATGTAAAAGCATTAGCCTCCATCATGCTGTGTTCTGTTATCAGGTCTACATGCAGGCCCAGAAAGACTATGCAGTACACGTATGAATATACATACCCGACTTGGGTACAGTCTCGATATGGCAGCACTGAAAATATGCTACAGAAGGATCTTCTGCTGCTGATAAGGACTATTCTAAAATATAAAAGAAAATAAAAGAAATCAAAGACTAAAATTTAAAAATCCCACCACAACAAGCAAAGCAATAGATGTTACCATTGAGGAATTTGCAATCATAAAACTTCCATAATGGATGACTTATCCGTCCTCTTTTACATCTCACAGATATTGTGCTACGGAGTCTTTACAGAAGTGCTGAAGCCTGTGCCACAGCAAAGGAGCAGTGAATGAGTAGTAGAGCCCCATTCCCTCTACAGGCTTTCTAGGAAGACTATCCTGACTATGTGACTTGGAATGCAGGACAGATGCTTTCCTAGTGAAAGAAGTCTACCCACAGAGGCACGGGACCATTCTGTCAACCGACTACAATGGCTGAAACTCAACAGACAACGCCAGCAGCAACCCAGGTGATACACACCAACAAATACCACTGATACACACACATTCTGGCTGCTGGTTGTGACCTTTCTCTGCTAAACCAAAGGACTCCCTTGATTGTCAGCTTCTTGTTCCTGAAATGGGCTTCATCCGTCAATCAGGCTAGGTTTGCTATTATTACATTGAGTTTTCAGATCCTTTCACTGTTTCCAGGCTTCCTCTTTTGAATCTTCTCCAGTTTTTGCCCCATCACACTTCTTGGTCTCCAGGCATCATCCGTGACCTCAGAAGTTGCACATCTTCCAGTCTTACCTTTAAGATCAGCGTCTAGCCATGACACTCTGCCAGTCTCTGTGCTCAATAATCACATTAGCCCTCTTGGTTATGATGTTGCATTGACACTCAGGCATAACTGACCCCTCAGCTCCCATCTGTCTCAGTCAATGGCTGAATCCCTCCTCCTCTAAGCATGGCTTGCCTTTGCTCCTCATAGGCAGTTAGCCAAGATTTGGCTACATGAAATCATACATCATCTGCCTGCAGAGAGCTTATCTCAGAATCCAGGACAGTCTTAGAGCAAATGCCTTGCATTTCTGAGCAGTTTCCAATTCTCTGCAACATCTGCAAAGTCACTGTGTGATACTGTCCTCGTTTCAGCTCAGATAGAGTTCATCTCCTTTAAAGCAAATAGCTTGGAGCAACCTGTCTGTTACACAGCCACATTGCTGCCTTCAGCCATCGGGCTCTGACATATTAAGCAACATCAAAACCACCTTGAAGTCAAGACCCACTTCCCATGAAACAGAGTGGGATGCCAGTAGCTCCATTATTAAAGTTTTGGGAGATGCAGACTTGCAAGAAGCCAAGAGAAGCTTGGTGAAGAAGTAAGATATAAAATGCCAACTTACCACCTTCAGGACACAGAGAATTGTACCATCGTACAACTGACCCTTCCTCCCTCTAAAGCTGGCTAACAGGCTGAACCATGTCAAATTCCTCTAAGACACAATGACAGCAATTTGTGATGTTTTCTGACCTGATTAGTGTTAGAATTTTCTGATATTTTACCTTTCTAAAAATCTCCACTTGTGGTGAAAATGCTAGGACCTACCACTACGTTGGTTTTCAGGGCTATTGCACTTCATTGCTCTGCTCTCCAGCATTGATTTTTCTGACATTGTGTCCCACAGATCTGTATGTAAGGATTTAACCTGAATTTTTCATCCTTTTTCCTGCACTGATCAAAGCTGGACAACAAACCCTAGCAAGCTCTTTTGCTCTTTGCCGTCTGAAAACCAGCACATGCACCTATGAATCGCATACCAGTTACCCTGTTATTAGAACACTGTTTCCTTAAGGGACCAGCTTAGTCATCGTTCTTGGAAAAGGTTTAGCTCCCCAAGAGAGCTGCTGCACGTAATCCTTGGAAAAATGCAGAATGATCAATTTTCCTTCTCCTGGATTACTCCGTTATAGCAATCCTATTTTCTTCCTTAAAATCCTGTTTGAAAGCAAAGAGGGATTTACCCTTTAATGAAGAAAGGTTTCTAATAATAAACACATATACAGCTTTAGGAAGTTCTCCTGCAGCAGATGAGGTACAATTTCATTGTTGTCTGAATGCTGTAACACTCCTTACCTAAGGAAAATCTCAGATCCTTCAAGATGGTCTCGCGGTGCGGCAGTGAGTTACAGAGCAGGGAGGAATGATTTTTCCCATTTGAGAACAGCAATGCACAAGCAAAAAAATCCTGGCATATGATTAATTTTGTGCTTGCCACTGCTTACTGCTGAATGGTTGCTACTCACAACAGCTTGCTTGTTCACTGGAAGCCTTGTTTGCTGATGTATGAAACTTGGCACAGGTTTCGAGGCTGACATCAGAAAGCATCTTTGAATTCGGAAAACCACAGTACCCACTAAGCATATTATCCCCCTCCCTCTGGCTGCTTCTGGAAATACAGCTCCTCCACCAACGCCCTACACCTCCCTAAAAATACCACTCAACTCTTAATACTTAAAAGAAAAACAAACTGGTGCTTCCATGTCCACAAGCAAAGACAACAGTAGGAAGTTACCATAGAACTGTGTGTATCAGAAGGAATCAGACAAGAAAGGAAATAAAAAGCACCAGCCCAGCCTCTATTTTTTTTAGATTTCTTTCCCTTGGGACCCAAGTATTGCCTCTCTTTCCATAAATCAGCAGATCCTCTTTACACAAAGATCTCCCAGGCAGAGCATGAGAGGAGCCCATGGCCTCCACTGCTAGGATGCCACAAAACCTCATCGGCAAAGCTGCCAAGGGAGAGTGATGCAAAACAGCTTTAAGAGCTGGACTGGAAAGGAAGTGGGGAAAGCAGTGGCCAGATACTCACCATGGAGGGATAAAATGGCATTTTATGTATAGGTCTCATGACATGCATGGAAGCAAAAAAATTTCTGAAGGCCTGCAATGGTTTGCTGGGGCAGAAAGTCCAGAAACTTGCCACAAAGTATGCTTTGGAGAAGAAGTTGTGGTGGAAGTCCATTGCTGCTCAAGAAAATCAAATTATTGCTTATGGGAGAAAAGTATTTTCCCGGATTTCAACTCTTCAACAAAGGGCATCTACAATCCTGCACATCTCTGAAGCAGTAATCTCAGAAGCTGTGTGAGAGTGCTTACATCCCTTGATTCAAATTGTGCCACCTAGACATGTTTAAAACCACTTCACAAAAAGGTTTTCATTCTTTAATTCTCACATTTCACTGAAAAGTTGTTGAAATGGTTGCTCTGAACTAATTATTATAGAGCAACCATTATTTTGCAAGAGAATTCTGACAATGTGCAAAAGGCCAGAAAAGCTAATCTTCCAATTTCTTTATGAAGTGTATACTGCAAAAAACCTTAATGAGCACGAAGCTCTCAACAGAATCAGTAATTTTATAGACTGGAAAATAATGTCTGCTTTCCCCAGCATCTGTCTAGGTTTGATTGTGTTGCACCAAAAGGCTGCCATCAGGCAATGCGACATACATCACATATACCATATATACATGTGGAATATTGCAGTCTCTTTTCTCATTCCTGATTGATGATTTTTGACTGCCAGGGCTCTGTTGCCCTGCACACAAAGGTAATACACAAACCATGGATGCTGTCAGGGTAGCAGCCCTCATTTTGGAGTCTCAGAAGTTCAAGGGCAATTAGAAGGTGGCTGACAGTTACCATGAACTGTGAGGGTGCTACCAATCATTAACCTCTTAGTCTGCATGTGTGTGCAATTAAGAGAGCAGCAAAAGACATTTCATGATGGTGTTTGGCCTTCACTCAGGCGTGTTTGCTAACAAAAAAAATTGAGAAAGCAATGGCATGGGGGTGGGAGAGGTATGCTGTTTTACTGCTTTTTATACCTGCTATATATGATAACTCTAGATCCTTCTTGTCCCATTCTCACCAGTAACCGTTTGTTCAGCTGGCTCAGGTTGCCATTTCAGCGGCTCTTTTTTGCTAATCCTCTGCTTCAGTGTTTATGGAGGATATCACCAATAATCCTGATGTGGGTAAAACCCACAGAAAAGTGGGTAAAACTATATGCTGGTGCCTACCTGAGCTAGTTTGTATGTCAGGGCTGACTTGTCTTTGTCTTTAAATGGGAAAATGTATTTTCTGCTGTTTTACAAGACTGCTTTGCTAGCATAGTCTAGGAACCCTAATTTTCCAACTCCTTTAATAAGCCACAACCTAGGAATCCAAAGAAACCGGTTTAACCAGTGATCAGAACTATCAACAGGAAGCTTTACAAGGACTCACTGATTAAGCTCCAGTCTGTGTGTTTTTCTATATGAGCTTTTTCTCTGTGATAAATAGCTGAACTCTTATTTTAACCACAGCGGGTCCTGCCTTGCTGCAGGACTGACAAAGGCTGGACCCAGTGCATCTTTATGCAACACATGTCACCCCTGAGGCTGAGATGGTAAGAGCTCTCAGTGCCACAGGACAAAGACACATCACCTTACAGGTTGAGAGACACAAACAAGGGTAGCTACTGGAGAGAGGAGCCCTGAGCTATCACTCACACTGCAGTTTTCTTTGCTGTGACACAGTCACAAGCCAGTGAAACAACTTCTGAAAGTAATGGCTATCTTAAAGCCCAGTCATCAAATTCACCACCCAAAAATATATTCCGTGTAGATGTTTTCAAGGCTGGGTTCCTCATCTTAAGTGGAAGACTGACATGCTGTGACAGAAGGGTCAGGGGTTTCAGAGGGAGCTCAGAGCCTGACTCCAGCCCAGCTCAGCATCTTTAGCCTGCACAACCACGCATGAGCCACCTGGGACACGGTCTCAGGCATGGAAAGGAGCCGCAGGAGTGTTTGCTATCCATTACAACACCTGTGCTCCTCTGTGTCACAGGCAGCTGGAAAGGACACCAGCTTCAAAGGTCTTAACATACTCAAAACCACTGTTGATTTTAGGATGAATACACAAAGTAGATCCACCTGTATTTCTAAAGGTCCTTTTAATCCAGAATGCCTATTAACTCCAGTGACTACATCCAGATCCCTGGGAAAAACAGTCTGCACTCAAATTACTTACTGCTAGACATAGGGGTGACACAAATGTTAACTCTGCATTTTATTTTTAGTTAGCATCACTGTGGCTCTACGACCATAGGATGAAAACCATTGCCAAAATTGTGTCTCTCATTCTTACTGTATTTGTATTCTAGATAAAGAGATCTTTATTATGATTGTGGAAATATTCTGGAAAACTGTGTCTGCTGATAAAGATAAGAAGCCAGTTGAATAACGGAAGCTTTCTCACCGCTTTCTTCGCAAGAAAAATATTCAGTTCCATTGTCAGACATAATGACTGATCTATGTATTAAGGTAAAATATTGCATATATGCTACAAATACTTCTTTGCAAAACATCAAGAAAGGAGTTTACAAATCAACTCTTTATTCATTCTTTTGCAGGTATTATTTCTATCAAGCTTATGCCTAGATTTTGTACATCTCAGAAATTTTTCTCTGTGGAATTTCCATAATACCATGTAAGTATATTTTGCTGTGAGTAATTCTCAGAGCATATATCTACTTATGCTCAAAATGGACTAAAATTAAAGGGCTGCTTTTCAGTGTTTGATTCCACATGTATTTCTTATAAAGACAATAAGCAGCATCTAGTGAGAAAACAGTCAACAGTTCAATAGTTCTGCATGTGTCTGTTTGATACTAAAGCTGGATGTAAAAGCTGTTTCTAAAATCTCTCAGGGCCACCTTGCACAACATTCATGTTGATTACTACCTTTCACTGCATTCAATTGTATGTCTGAGAATAACAGTGAAGAAAATTTTTCTTGAGCCAAGTAACACGTATCAGAATTCAATTCATAAAACCTGTGGTTCAATGCAATGTTAGAATTTCTACTGACACAGTTCCATGTCTGATGGCAAAGGCTACAGGCACAAATCAGTCCAACAGAGCATACATGGTTCTCAGCCATGGTTCTCAGTTTTATGGGAACAGGCATGTGCAAGGGTCAGCTCTCACTGGGATAGTTTAGCCTACATGCAACCTATTCAGGTGGCCTAGTTCAAAACGACTCAGATTTGGAAGAACAAGAATAAAAAAAATTATGAGGCACAGGGAGAAACTGATTTTGGAAAAATCAGAGAGGACAGGTATGCTCTTTATAAGCAGGAAGGAGGCAGTTTCACTTCTGAGCTGGATGACACCATAGTAGAGAACCCATTTTGCTGATGGATACACCTTCAGCTGATGGGAATAGGCCTTTGCAGTAAGCCAGGTCTCAACCAATGGCTGCTGCACAGGTCCCACCAGTGCCTATGGCTGTAACCTGGGCACATCCCAGTTCAGGGCGTGCTGCAGACACAGGTGCACCTCTCACACACCCCCTGGAAGCCACTTTGCCTACATCTACCACAGAAACCAGGATCCCTTGTCTCATCTTGCTACAACCATCCTTGTCTGAGCATTTAGCAGCATGCTGTATCCACTAAGAGATGTTGGTAGTATCCTTGAACCATCGCTAAACTTGGTCCAGGCAGGTTCAGCTGTGTGCCCCTCTCACACTTAGAACCTGGCAACATCCTTGAAGAAACGCAACCAGATTATGCCTAGTTTGCCCTAACACCATCACAGATTTTCCTTTTTTGCAGGTTATTTGTATTAAGGAGGTCTTGAAATCTGTGGGCTAGCACTTCCATTGACACATACTTCCCTGGGGGATAGAGCATGCACTGCAGCCTGCACCCTCAGAGATTATTTGAAAGACCATTAGGTGGTGAGTGGCAATGGCTGTGCTGTTGCAGGGGGATGCTGATCCTGCCCCTTCCCTCACATCCCATGGGTTGCCTCTGCAGAAGCAGCCTCTGCATGCACAGTACCTGCCGTTCCTGGTGTCGTGTTGCCGCATGTTCTTGATAAAATGAACCTTCTTAAAGTTCTTTGGTCTGGGTGATCCTGAGAGTGTCCGACATCTGAAAAGTAAATCAGTTGCAAGGGAGGGGAGGGAGAAGAAAAAAAAAAAGTTCTCAGTTCCCTGCTGTACCGCCAAGAAGTCTACACAAAAGCAGGAAGGAAAGACGAGACAAATGATTCAAGTCACCCTGTGTTAGGAATCAGCAAGAACAATAAAGACAATAAGTCTGGAAACACGACAGCTCAAAGAAAAAAAAATATTTAAAATAATAATGAGAAAAGGCACCATCCCCCTCCCTTCATGCCAAAAAAAAATCATTTAAAAAATCTCAGCAAAGTAAAACTTCCTGTAATCTGCCATGACAGCTTAGCCCAAGCTTTCAGAAGAAAAAAAAAAATTAAACCAAACCAAAACTTAGTAAATATGCAATTTTCCCCACTCGCACCAACACCCACGCTTTTGTATGCTCCTCAGCTATTGATAAAGGAGCCATTGAGGGAAGCTCTTTCTTGTTTCAATTTTAGAAAGATTTACAATCTCCTATTTGCAAAGATAATTCCTATTTGATTTTAACTCTAAATATTACTTTCCACATTCCTGACAGTACAAAAAAACAACTGAAAATAAAATTAACTACCCCAGGAAAAAAATAATCATTCTTCAAAACATTAAGCCTTAAATCTATTTTACATCTGAATGCGCTTTATAAATTGCAGTTACAGAAAGAAATTGCCAGAGGGAGGAGAGATGAGACAAACAGCAATATCCTCCCCCTGCCTTCCACCCTTGCTCTTTCTAATCAGCTGAAACCACAGTGCATGTGAAAGCGTTCTCTGTTTCATCTCAGGGCTGTTTTGTTGCAGGGTGAGGCAGAGCTCGCAGGCACTGGAGATGAGTCCCGTGCTCTCAGCACAGCCAGGGCTGGACCGTGGCTGCTGCATCCTCCGTGGCACCTATGGGACCAGCATCCTCTGCCAGTGCATGGATGAGCTTCCCTAACCTATCTTTTCCATCCTCTCCTTGCACGGGCAGAGTTCAGCAGCTCCTCAAGCCCATGAGGTCATTATCTTGGACTGAAACCATAGACCACTGTGCCAGTCCCTACCACTGTACCCAAACACCATCATGCTGCACAGGCACACCCCGAGAGGGGCACCCCATCACTTTACCATTTCTGCCTCCCTCCTGCTAGCAAAGGCCTTGAGATTCCCTCACCCTCTGATTGCAATTAGCCTTGTTAGCTTCTTCACAGGAAAATGGCACCAAGAGAGACATTCTACCACCAATTCTGCAAATTAGCAAGCAAAAATACTGCCTGGCAAACCATACTTTGTTTATATCTTTTACAAATTATACATGTTTGAATCACTTATGGGAACACTTCATAACATGCTGGTAAGCATGCAACAGTGAGCTTTGTAAAAATAATCAAGCTTTGGTAATAAGCCAATCGGTACAGCCTCTGCTATTCTTTGCTTCGAGGTAAGGAGAGACAGCCAATCTGCATGTGGATAAACAAGGATGTAGGCTCAACACCAATATAAACCAGCTGAATTACAGGTCCTAAGATAAAGAGGCAGGCTCAAACCCAGGCTGCTGTCCTGCCGAACAGCTGACCTGGAAGCATTCCATGCACTGGTCAGATTACCGACCAGCCAGCTTCTGAACTGTTAAGCAGTTGCTCCATTTTCCATCACCCCAGAGGATTGCCTAGCGACAAATTACTGTGGTCCCCAGAGGAGGAAGCTGTGGTCTCCCAGATGCACAAATCAAACCACACTGAAGCAGCCAATATAACAAGGATGGGAGCAGTTTTATTAGTGGGGTAGCAGTCACAAACCTACCAGCCGACACACAGACAGCAATGCTGGTAACCAAAATAAGCTTGCATGTGCTTGAGCGAATGGACAGTAAAAATTCATTAAAAATAGCAGTCTTCAAAAACTTACTGTATTAAACCATCTGTACATACTTTTTAAATGTACCACAGATGTTAGGGTATTACTGACTAGGGGCTAGTCATTCATATTGGTGACAACAAAACTTTTCTATTAATCAAATCTGGCATTTTAATCCCTGACATTTCATCTAAATACTGCCTTTTTGTTTAATGACCTAAAGCCAGGGAATGGGCAATTTGTATCAGCCACCACCTTAGAGGGCGTGTGAAGTTTCGACACTTTTACTCACTATGAAGAATATCTTAATGTGAAGACCCAGTTACTTTTCAACATGAGGAGGGAGAGAAAGCATGCCCATGCATGTGCTTTACAGACAAGAAGCCAGAAAGAGAGTAAATAAAATGACCTCCTCAGTGGGGCATTTTCCTCTATGTCCTCCAGAGTCTCCAGAGAAGATCGCTGGGAGATCAGCCGACGTCTGCAGAGAAAGCAGAACACAAAACATCACTGCTGATTAGAGGGCACAAGGAAGTCCTCAGAGCTGCTACTGAGTAAAGATCACAAACCACCCTCCACTAGCCAAGCCACACCTTTGGATATTAATAAATTTTGTTCCGTTCTGCTTATCTTGATCGGTTTGATTCCACCCAGAAGCAAACTTACTCCATACAAGCTGCTACAGCAAAGCAGAAGTTTCAGCTTTGCAACAGCTCCTCCTCAATTTGTGCTCCCCTTCCTCCAAGGGTTTAACACCCATCTAACACAGTCCCACATATGCTGCAGTACAGCTGGCAATGCTACAAGCAGAGAGCTCTGACAAAATAACGCAGACATAGATCCACAGAGACTGCCTGTCCTTCACACTGCCACAGGGGCACTTCTCTTTGCCCCTTGCACTTTCTACTAAGCAAGTGCCACTTGTTTCTCCACGATGTTCATCTCATCACTCCTGTGAGGAGTGTCTCAAGTGAGATGAAAGATGATAGTACCAGCAACACTGGTTATAAAGCAGCAGTTTAAACAGAAGCGCTGACCATTCCCATGAGCAGCGCAGGTGAAGCTAAGCTCTGTTTTAAACCATTTTCCTATGTCTGAGTCACATCCTTCCTCCACCTTCAAAGAAATAATTATGGAAATCTTAGCATTACAGCTTTTCTGGCTGTTCTAGCAGGCAGGGAAGATGCCCCAGTAGAGTCTTTGTTCTAGCAGCCATTGCTGCTGCACAACCTCCAAACACCCTGACAGCAGCACAAAACAAGAACTGCACCCAACCCTCCACAAAACCACTGTAAATACCATAAATGAATGTGTACGACACAGCCCAACCGCAGGCACACAAAGAGAAATTAAGCTGACAATCACTGAAGCTACTCCATCGTCGATGGGCGTCAAAACAGCTGCAACAGCCAGCAGAGCCGTGGCACTGTGCCCCAGCACCCGGCTGGCAGGAGCTATGCCAGCACCCATCGATCCCCAGGGCCATGGCTCAGGCACAGAGCACCTCTCCAGTGACTTCATGAGTATGAATGACAAAAGTCTTCAAAGACTATCGCTATTTCTTGTATCACTGTTTCTTGCCCAATTCCCACTGAGCTGCCTTACTCCCTTGATCTGCAAGCAAAGAGTTTCCAGAATGTCATGAGCACTCCTATATGCTTGAAAGGTGCTCATTAATTTATTTCTGGGCTGTATTTTTACAATCAATTGTTTTCTCTGTTGGTAGTGTAAGCAGTTTCTAATCCTTCCTGCAATTTCCTTACCCCTCCAGTTGTGCTGCTACAACTGTTCCTGCAGCCATGCTGCAAATCTGATTACCAAAATGTTTTTCAGTTCAAAATAACCCTGAGGTTCAGTGATTCAATTTGTTATTAATTCAAACACCAAATTTCTATCACTAACCAACAGACAATGCATTTCAGGACAATTTGAATTGTCCTGCAGCTTCTTTTGTTCTTAGAAAATCATAGAAAACCCCTCAAACAATTTATAGATCAACTAAGTGTGAAGCACAATCCTCTTAGGAAAAATATGCAAACCTAAATCCCCTCGGGCTTTGTCTAAACTAGGATTTTAGGAGATCTGGTGCAAGATAAGATACACCTTCAAAATGCTAAAAAAAGAGTCTGCATTTCAGGATGTGCTGGCATAGACAAGGAAGAAGAGACCAAACACCTTTCTCCTGCACCCATGGGTGCTCCCACATCTCCACCCATAATCAGAGAGGACACAGGAATGCTCTTATTGAGAGAAATTCAGATCAGGAGGAGGAGCTCCTCCTGCTTTTTCAGTTTCACTGATCCATAAGCAAAAGCTGGAAGTTTCAACTACCAGCACCACTGGTAGATGACGTGGCACATGATAGCTGCTGGCTTTTTAATGCCTCTTTATACATCATTAGCTTAATAACACAAATAATGGCATGCTCCCATCTTGTGGTGTTACAACACCAAAAGCATACTTGGAATGTTGTTAGTCAAAGGGATATAAACAATGGTACAACCTTGCCACCTTCTTCATACTAAATGTATCAAATTAGTCACGCTGTAGCTCCTGTAGATGCCAGGTGCCTGTACAGCACCAGGTGCATATTCCAGCTGCCACTGAAGCCTTTTTCCAAGAGTCTTCTCGCCCAAAGTTATGCACCATCCTCAACTTCATTGCCCATAGTTTGTCAGGCATGGGTTTGAAGATCCTACATTTGCGTCTGCTGTCAGGGCAGATGCGCTGGGTGGCAGGAGCACACACAACTGCATTCCACCAGCTGCTCACCCAGCTGCCTGCTGGGGTCCTCTGCCTTCCCTCACTGCTCTCACCTTCTTAAACCCAGCACCACGGATGCTGCCTCCTGACTTTTGCTTGCTAACCTCAAATGCAGCATAGGCTGGATGGGAATCACTGCCACCCCTCTTGGCGTGAAACCTCGCACCAATTCTCACCAGTACTGCTTTTGCAGAGTTTTGGGTACCTTACGTGGCAAGTGAGTTGGCACAAAGGAATGGGGGGAACTCTTTGTTCACCCAAACTTGGGAGAGGAGCACTGATGCCGGAAATCCCTCTAAACTAGGGCATGATACAAGCATAACTCTGGATAAATCCATCCAGGAAGAAAGGAAGAAAACACACACAAAAGGTACTGGCACAGGTAGCAGTGAGAGCAAAGATATCCAGCCCAGCCCCCAACCCAGCTGAAAACTGCCACATCTTTCAGCTCTTCCCAGAATTATTAGTTTTAATCACTTCAACTCCCAGCACTGTCAAAGGAACACCAGAGAGGTGGATTTGGAGCAACTCTGTTGAAATCGGTTCATACTGTCCAGGAATCACATCCTCTTTTCACTGAAGAAGCTCAGCTGCAATAAAGGATGTACAATTATTCCACTTTATCTTAAATCTTTATTTCAAGGCCTAATTAAGATGACCTAAATACCAGTATTTTATAAGCTTTCCACAGCTGGATACTATATTAAAAATGCCAACTAATGAACCTACCTGCTGTGAACAAAGTCACATCCTGTGCCACACACAAGGGACAAAAAACAATTCTGGAAAAGGAAAGCTTTTGAAAGGATCTTCCAGGGAATACAAGAAAAATCAGTTTTCCACTGACTTCATTAAGAATTAATCATCTCAACTGGTGTTTAGTATTTAAATTAATCATCTTTCTCTCTTCAGGCAAGCAGCCAGGCTTTGTCTATACAACTCCTAAAAGGGTTATTTTTCAAAAATTGATTAGCATGCTATAGCAGCTGGTATATGTAGACACTTGCACTGAAATAACCCAAACTGTTTCATATCACACATCACCATCATTCTGATGTAAAGCTGTGTTGATACCTATTTTGTGTTTTAAAATGCCCTATTTCAATAATAATTATGGGAAAATCATTCTACTGTGGAGGAAGAATATATGCAGAACAAAACAAAACAGCACTCTGTGACTCACACAGGATTCAGGCTTTGGGGTAAGTCTCTAAGTAGATGCAATTTCAAAATAAAATGCTTTAAAACTTTTGTAGACTAAATGTCAAACTAACACAAAAAATACAATTGACCTTAATAACCAAATTAAAGATGTTTCAACAAAAATGTTAATTTCTCCTAGTCCACAGAAAGCCTTAAAAACTTCCTCCTAGTTTAATCACCACATTCTAGGTATACCAAACTCACCCTTGCTCCCTACAGAAAAAGGCAGCTCAGTGCTGGAAAGATGATGACCTCCTCATTCTAATCATCAGCCCTTGCAGGACAATGGTCACAGTCTCATGCAACTTACAGACTTGTTTTGTTTAAAAACCATATAATATCACTTTCCCTTCTCCACCTACCTAAAATACTTTTTGTCTGTTTCCTTGCTGTTGGTTCCCTGTGCATGTGCCCAGAAATAACCAATACCCTGGAATCAAATTCCAAGTGCAGACCAAAGAAAAAAAACCATATGAGAGAGACATTTGATGCCACGGTATTTTAAATGGCTGTTTTCTAAGATACTCATGACCCTGCTAGCATGCTGGATTTATCTTTGACCAGCTGTCTGAATCTCTGTGGAAGTTTCTTAAAAGCTAAAATGTTGTCTTCGTTTCCCCTCTCCAAAGTCAGATTAATACATGGCTCAGTTGCAAAAATGAAATAAAATAAAAGGGAAAAAAAATACAAGGAAAAATAACATAAGGCAGGTCTGTAGCCAAAACAGCAAATAGCCAAAGCAAGACGACTGCAAACATATTCACTGTAACCACCACATTAGTCAGTGGAATATTATCTTTGCTCTCAGCTGCTGCAAAATACTCAGCTCAGTTATGTTAAACATACAAAATCTTAAGCCACATAGACAGGAGGTGATAAAAAAAAAAAAAAAAAAAGGAGAAAAAGAAGGAGCTGCAATCAGAACACTGGATAAATTCATCCAGGAAGGAGGAAGGAAGGAAGCCAATGATAATCCAAGAGATAAGGAAAAATAAATCCATGTGTAATGACTTTCTAGCACAGCTACAAAATCAGCAAGAAAAAACTGCATTTCAAATACAACTAATTTCTGTGAATGTTGGGTGTGTAATTTTCCCCCTTCTTCTGTTAAAATCACAAACCTGTAACAGCTGAAGCCAGCAGCGTGGGTACTGCTGGCCCCCAGAACAAAAAACACCCCTTCAGAATAAGCTTCTTCACTTTGTCTGGAACAACTGCATCCCTTCAGAGATGCAGTGACAAGGGACACACGAGTGCCAATCATCTGAACACCTGCTGGCTGCACTAACACTGATGGGAGAACTTGGGAGGACAAAGACATTTCCAGAACTGAAGACTGTTGGCAGTTCCCACATCCACTGGGCTACCTCCTCCCTTCAGGTGGCCAGGCAAAATCGTGGGACAGAAACTTCTGGGCTACTACCTTCTAATCACAGCTGTGTTTACACTAATGTGCCTTGGAAGCATCAGAAAAGGACAGGACTGCTCAACAATTTGAAAATGTTGGATTCTTTA